TAACTATTTGAAGTGTCCATAGAGTAGAAGGACCTTTAAAATAGTAGGTTAACCATACCATTTCGGGTTTAATTTTCTCATGGCTAACAAAATTGTTACCAACATAAATATTCTCACTTTCATCAGCATAAACATAAAATGGTAGAGGTTGACTGCCAGTAGATGGGGAGAGGTTATAAATGGATGCAGTGATTTTTGTTGCAACGCTCAGACTAAAATTGATAAATCTTGTTCAAGTTGGTGTACAAAAAAATTCAATAGGTGCAAGGAGGGTTTTAAATGGGAGTACAGTACATCCAGCTAAATTTGTTAATCATAAAAGGTGAGAATGCTGACACAATTTGACTATAATGTGTAAATATGTAATCCTTTTTGTACAGACCTGGCTCCAGATAGATTAAAATGTTAGCTGAGTCTTAGTAATACTTGTGTTGAAAAATGAACTTGAAAATAATGTCTTAAAGGTAATAAAATCATCACGGAGATCTGTCACAAACTTGATTAAGTGGTTTAGGAGTATTTTGTTTTCTGTGCTAGTTTATACAGGTACTACTTTTCAGTATTTTATTTTTTCTGGTTTCTTTTGTTTTTGGGGATTGAGAAACTATGCGAAATTTAAAATAGGATTTTATGGTGCAACACTGGTAGGCCTTAAGTAGTTGACTATGGTTGGTGGCGGCTTCTATTTGTTCCATTTTAGCGGACATATGTTCACCCTATTTTATTAGCTACAAGCCAATGATATTATATAGAATGCATGTTTAACTATAATATGGATAAAGTACAAAGCCAATTAGTTCATGAGATAATCTTTCTCCAGTCGTTCAACAATTTTATCCCTCTCCCTCTCTTTTTTCCCCCTCTTAATCAGTGATATGGGCCAAGGCCCCTATTTTCTCATATATATGCATACACATCATATAATGGATGAGATTATATAACTACTTGTCACATCCAGCATTATCAACCTTGTCGACAACCAATAATCTTGTACATGGCATTTTTACTATAATCTATATTACCTGGGTACTTCTATCCTGAAACTGTACCCACACCCCACACATGTCGGATGCCGACTCATACTGGACACTCCTTTAATACTTCTCTCATGTATCATACCTGTATCAGACAACAACTTTCTTGAATATATATTGTGTTAGAGTTAGTATATTAAGTTATGGATATTCGGGTATAGAGCTGTATTGGGTTATCTATCCATATTCATCTTATCTCTTGTACAAAGTTTATTATGCTCATGAATAATACTATCAAATTAACCCTCCAATTTTATAACATAGTATCAAAGCACCACGTTATTACATCCTAATCTTCACTCAATCCTAGTCGTTCATCTCCAGATCAAAGTAATCTCAACCATCAAAAGGGAAAAAAGTAATCCTAGCCCTCAACAGTCTGCCGCCGCCGCCTCTTCTACCTACGTATTTGACTGCTGTAGCTGTTGCAGTATCTTTCTCCTAGACTCCTGTCCCTTCTCAACGACTCAGAGAGAATTTGGGTATGCTAGCTTGTTCCTATTATCCTATTAGGCGAAGAAGATTGTGCTTGATACATTTGTATCAGAGCAATACTCGATCCTTACAACTTCTCCCATCTTTCTATATCTTGAGGCCATCAAGGGGATTTTGCATGACCTTCATGCTCTCCTCGGTAGTTACGACAGTATTTTTGGCTTCTACATCATTTGATTGCTAAATCTTTGCTGAGCCTTAATAAAAAAAGCCTACCTTAAAAAACCTAGCATCAAATGGGGAAAATAGCACTGTTCACCGATGGCCATTGATGGTAGTAAGCCACACACGCTGTTCATTGTGAACATTAGCCCTCTTCATCCTCTTTCAGTGGTTAGATGCGAAAGTACATAGTTGACTCCAACGTTGCTTCTACTAGCTGATCGGCCTAGGGTTTCTAGTGGCTAACTTGCCTAAGGTATCTTTACTGGCTTACCTGTCTAAAATTTCTATTGGCTTACCCGCCTAGGGTTTTTATTAACTTACTCGTCTAGGGTTTCTACTGATTATGACTATGCCTTTTTGATCGCTAACGTCTTCAAGTATTATGGGCAAAGATAACACTACCAAATCTCTTGCAAGTAGTTATTTTATTCTCATTTATAACATGCATAGGCCTAGAGAGTTTCACTGGAGAGCCGTAATGAGGATTCTAGCTTACATCCAAAGCTTCCCTGGAAAAGGTTTACTATACAAGAAGGATAAACATGTACACATTTCTGCTTACTCAGATTCAAGTTACGCAGGAGCTAGAGACAGGAAGTCTACGACCAGATACTGTACTTTTGTTGGAGGCAATCTCGTCACCTGGAGAAGTAAAAAAGCAAGATGTGGTGTCTATCTAGTGTAGACGCTGAGTATTGAGCAATAGATCATACTACATGTGAGATGAAGTAGTTGAAGAATTTGATGAAAGTACTTGGTTTTCTTCAATCGGGTCCTATGCCTATGCATTGTGATAATCAGTGTGCCATCTACATTGTAAAGAATCTAGTTTCTCATTAAAAGACTAAACAGATATGGGTGAACTGTCATTTTGTACGGGATAGTGAAATAATTGATACGCACCCGTTCTACTCGTTCTTCAGAGCAAATGTTGATATATTCAACAAGGTAGTGTCTTCCAAGATTTTTTTCTCCTTGGTGTGACAATCCGGGCATGATAGATATCTCCAGCTTGAGAGGGGTTGTTAGAGTTAGACCATGTTTGGGTTGCGTATTATTTTGAGATAGTGACCCTTTGTTCTTTAAAATAAAATAGTAACATGTTTGGTTCAAAAATTTAGGGGATATTACGTGGGACTATTTAGTCTATTAAAATGCAATAGTTCAATGATTTAAGACTAAATAATGGAGGGAGAGGGGGTTATTATAGTCCTACGACTATTTCTCATTCGGGATTAGATCTAAAATGACATCATTACCCCTTAACTTTCTAAGAGTTATTAATATTTTTCATTCCCAATCATTTCGCTCATCCACTTTGATTGCATATTAATCATCTCATTTGCGTATCCACACTTTGATGGCTTATACTCATTAATCATCCTCATTTGCATATTCCCTAAATCTAGATATTTGTTAATACCTCGATATTTGGAAAGATCTTTTGCCAAAATGAAAATATCTAAAAATTATAAAACATCCCCAAAGAAATAAAAAATTACAAAGAGCCCGTAGTCTAAAAGTTACAAGCAACCACTTGAAAAAAATCCAAAAACTACAAATAAAAATGTAAAAACAAAAAATTTACAAATAGCCCAAAAAAGTTGAATTGCAACAACCCTTCAAACAACACTTGAAAATTTAAAAATAACAAACATTGCAACAACCCTTCAAACAACACTTGAAAATTTAAAAATAACAAACAACCCTTCTATAAATTTAAATATTACAAATAACACCCTAAAAAATTGGAAAATTACAAACAACCACTTTAAAGTTTGCAAAATTACAAAAAAATGAAAAATATGAAAATTACAAACTTCCCCTTTAGAAATATGAATTACAAACAATCCCCTAAAAATCTGAAAAATACAAACAAGCTCTTGAAATACTTCACTGGTATGTAGAGGGCATTGCGGACATTTACTATTATGTTCTAATCTTATACTCCTTTATAATGATAAGTTCCGAAACATGATATAGGTACTAGAGGTGTAACAATTTGAACTAAGCATATTATTAAAAATTTAACTCATTATAGTCCGTTGGATTATTATATCCAAAGACTATAGCGAGTTTAATTAATACCGGGATTAAAAAAGTCTCTAATCCAAACATAGCCTTCGTATATTAAGTTATGGATATTCGAGTATAGACCCGTATTGGGTTATCTATCCGCATCCATCTTATCTCTTGTATATAGTCTATTATGCTCATGATAATACTATCAAATTAACCCTCCTATTTTATAACATATGCATACATTTATTCAAATGTATACTCAATTTTATAGTACTTATTTCAATTTAAAACACTCACCCTACACTTCTTGGATGTTTATCCTACACTTCACTTTCTGAAACTCGTTGGATGAGTTCGTTTCAGTCTATACCCAGTTCTCTATACCCAGTTCAGAGCTATGATTTTAAAGTTTGGATATCTCGTTTGAAAACCAATAGTTTTCCAATTTATAATCTACATAATAAAAAAACATAAAAATTTCATGAGAATTTCGTTCTCATAAAATAACCATAATAATAACGACAGCAAAACATTGATCCCAAATTTTTGGGGTTGGCTTTCTTATGTATATCCTCATAACATGTGAATGAAAAACATTATTGATCTTATATAAATTATTAATTTCAGTATATGTATAGAGCCGTGTCCCCGTGCCTTATCTTTTACAAACTTCCGTGTCCCATACCGGTACCTGTACCTATGTCCATTCAACTTAGACTGTAAGTCTGTAATACATGCTAATTTTTGGAACCATCAGGTAACTTTCTCAGCTCTAATGTACCCATTATCGCCTTCCATTTTAGCAACATCAAGTAAGTAAAACTCCAGTGAATTGCATGTGAAATGCTCATCAGCAACATGTAGGGAGCCACTGCTATGTCCAACATAGTTAACCACCTCCTCCAGCATTTGCCAGAATAATTATAATATTTAAATTCTTTTCTTTTCTTCTTTTTTCTTTCTCAGTTTTTCTTCATTTATTTTTTTTCTTCGTTCCTTTTATGGTGTAACTTATTTAGAGCCTTTTAGAGAAATCTCTCTGTAATATCCTATGGTTGTTTAAAACCGTGAAGACAAGATTCTTAATAAGGTAAAAAGAGGTTTAAACGGATAATAGGCTTGGACGCTAAGCAGCTAGCTAGGCACTCAGGGGACAACTGAAGTGGACAGTTCAATTGGCAGTTTAGCTTACTCTTTCTGTCTTTTAATTAATTTCATATGTTTCATATTGTTAATCAAATATGTTATTTTGGTAGCTTATAAATTTCTCTCTTTGATGTGCAGTCCTGGAAAATCGATTGTTGTGAGCTCAATTCTAATAGGTTTGGTTTTGGTTGGAAGAGCCGTATTCGTTTTCCCACTATCTTTCTTGATGAATTTAGCTAAAAAGTCACCAAATGAGAAAATCTCCTTTAAGCAGCAAGTCGGTGTTTGACATCTTGGTTATTTTGTATTCTTCGAAGTCTTCGGAATAGTCTTCGGAATATTGACTTAAACTATCTGATTGACAGGTTACAATATGGTGGGCAGGTCTTATGCGTGGTGCGGTATCAATTGCACTCGCTTACAATCAGGTTACACAACATTATCTTTCAGTACATATCTTTTTCTTTTCTTTTTTTTTCTTTTTTTCAGGTTCATTTTTTCAGTGTCCGATGGTTTTAGTAAACACGCAGTTAATACTTTTCAGTATAGGAGTATCTAATGACCTAATGTCTTTTGTCTGTACTCAAGACATGCACCCACACGTGCGCGCCCGCACACACTGTGTCACACACACAGTGAGTGTATGAGCTAGCGCTATATTGTTTCTTAAACTTTTTTCTATACTCAGTCCTTGTTGTAGAAGAGAGTGTTTCTCGCTTTTCCATGATCAGCTAACAATTGGAGTTCTTTATGATTATTTTCTTCATAATAGGTTGCTATAATCATCTTAATCAGCAGAAATTTCTATTGATAGTTGATGAACCTATAAGCCTTAGGTTACCTACAATATCTTTTATCTACAGAGGAGGATATCCTTCATTATATAAAGTTTGGCCACTCTGAATATTAAAAACTAACTGCCACATGAAAATGTCTGCCACATGAAAATGTTTTAAGGATCACATGTTTATTTAATACTTACCAAATATGATTATGATAGTGTTTAATAATTCCTATTATGATTATTTTCTTCATAATAGGCTGCTATAATCAACATAATCAGCAGAAATTTCTATTGATAGTTGATGAACCTAAATGCCTTAGGTTAACTACGATATCTTTTATCTACAGAGGAGGATATCCTTCACTATATAAAGTTTGGCCACTCTGAATATTAAAAACTAACTGCCACATGAAAATGTCTGCCACATGAAAATGTCTGCCACATGAAAATGTTTTAAGGATCACATGTTTATTTAATACTTACCAAATATGTTTATTTAATACTTACCAAATATTATTATGATAGTGTTTAATAATTCCTATTATGATTATTTTCTTCATAATAGGTTGCTATAATCAACTTAATCAGCAGAAATTTCTATTGATAGTTGATGAACCTAAATGCCTTAGGTTAACTACGATATCTTTTATCTACAGAGGAGGATATCCTTCATTATATAAAGTTTGGCCACTCTGAATATTAAAAACTAACCGCCACATGAAAATGTCCGCCACATGAAAATGTCCGCCACATGAAAATGTTTTAAGGATCACATGTTTATTTAATACTTACCAAATATGATTATGATAGTGTTTAATACTTCCTAGTACTAATATGCAAGAACATCTCTGAAGTCAATAACATGTGAAACAGTTCACATGAAAGTCTTAAAGTGTATTGATTAAACTTTGTTGTTTTGCTTATGATATCTCTTATGCTTTTGCATTTTATAATTGTCAGTTACTGATATTGATATTATGGAAATTTGTCTTCAGTTTACAACTTTTGGTCACACCCGACAGCGTGGAAATGCTATCATGATCACGAGTACCATTACAGTTGTTCTTTTTAGCACAATGGTACATAATTTTTGTTACTTCTCTTATTTTTTATTCCGCTCATATTCCCCTGCTACCAATGTTATTTCTTCAGACGAGCTGTAGATAGTAAAGATGAAGTTGAATAGTGTATATATAAGATGCATTTGTATATAGTGTGTGTGTGTGTGTGTATAGATACGCACACACGAATATATTTGCTTCTGTAGCCTCCCACACCCAAAGTCTATCCTACTTGCAGATTTATAATTTATTCCTACATTCTTCCACATTGTTCCGCATTGTTTTTTTGTACCCTCACATTTAACACCGCTAAAGATTCATAGGGTTAAATTAGCAAATATGCAGATTTAGAGGGTACGCTGCAAAAGATTTGGGTGTTAGCCCTTGTTATTTGGGAGAGAGGGAGCATTTTCCATTTTTTTTTTCATTTCCCCTTCTCTGTTAAAAATTTAGCTGTGTTAAATGAGAATTTCAACTCAAAAGGATGTAGGCTAAATAGGAAAATATTCAGATTTAGGTTAAATAGGAAAATATTCAGTTATACCTTGAAATTCTCAGCATATCTCTGTTCTTTTGAGAATCTTGAGCTATATCCATTTTCCATCATCAAACAGGTGTTTGGGTTGATGACCAAGCCTCTAGTCAGGCTCCTACTTCCTTCAAGCACAAGACATTCCAGCAGCATGTCAGAGCCTCCAACTCCCAGTTCTGTCCTCATTCCCCTCCTTGAAAATGTACAGGAATCTGAGGTCGAAACTGGAGGTGGAAAAATACGTCGACCGCCAAGTCTCAAAATGCTTCTCACCGAACCAACTCACACAGTCCATTATTGGCGTAGCTTTGACAATTCTTTCATGCGCCCTGTTTTTGGTGGGCGAGGATTTACACCCTTTGTTCCTGGCTCGCCTACTGAAAATGGTGCGAGTACCGTACTGTGAGATTTTTGGGAATCACCGTTATATATTGTTATTTGGGTATTCTAGTTGTTAATATTGTATATAGAAATGAGTCAGTTTCACGTGGAATGCCACGAGTATGGTTTGGCTTTGGTTATCATCTAGAGCGGCTTGAGTGGTTTTTGTAAATTCATGTAATCGCAGATCATGATACTAAAATGCAGCTCTTTTAATTAAGAAAAGAGAGAAAAAAAGAAGAAGAAAAGTTACAGTTTTTCTGTGAAATTTGTGATTTGGTTCTGTGCAACTTCTGCCTTCCTAGATGAAATGGCTGGTTACCAGAAGAAATATATGTGGTTCAAGTTTTCTGTACAAAAGTTGTTGAGCTTAATCTAGAACCGTGATAAACCTCTATGGACTCATTGAATTAGTTGTTATTGTTCTTAAATTTATAAAATTGTTTGGGGCTTATTGACTATGTCACTATGGAAAAGTGAAGCTTACATGAACAGTTTCATCAATGTTTTCTACGCTTATTTGACTGAAAAATGCCTCAGGGACCCTGCATGGGACAGGTGAGGTGTCGCCTTTCAAACAATGATGATGATTTAGTTGATACTATAAATGATATCCCAATGATCAGGGGTGTTAACGGAGCGGATACAGCTCGGATATGGCACTTACCATATCCATATCCGCTTCCTCATCTCGGATACGGATACGGATATACGTCGGTAAGAAAAATTCATATTCATATCCGCCAAAATTGGATACGGTTATGGATATAGATGCGGATATATAAACGGATATGCATGCAGATACAAAAAGGATATGAGAAAACTAGATAGTATTCAGAAAAATATAGTCATGTGATACAAAAAGAGTTCGTTAATATGTTCATTATGATTGAAAAGCTAAGATTAGACATCTTGATCATTAAAATTAACCACAAATCCATAATCTAAGAATCGAAACCATCGTACGAGTATTACCAATATGTATTCAGATATTTTCGGATATGGATACGGATATTTCACTACAAAACCATATCCGCAACCATATCCTATCAGTAATAGATATGAGTAACCATATTCGTATCCTAACGGATACGGTTACAGATATTTCCTCGGATACAGATACGGTTGGCACCCCTAGTGCGTACCCCTTAACTCATGGGCGTTTACAAAAAATGCCCCCTACATTTTAGTATTTGCAAAGCTAATCCTCCAATCATCAACTTTGGGGAAACCCTAAGATCAATAAATAATCAAATCCGGGATAAAATTTTGACTATTTATTGATAGTTTTTACATTGCAATTATAAATTAGCTTATCAAAGTTTATAATTAATTTCTTTGAGGGTAATTTTTTTTCAGAATTGATTATTTGAGGAGTAGTTTTACAAATTTTGAGATTTAGAGGGTAGGTCTGCAATTACCCATAATTCAAGGAGTATATATGCAAATAACCCTAAATTCAAACGTTTATGAATGTTTGAAAATTTTCAATGCAACGCTATTTTTTTGGGGGTTGGGGGGGGGGGGGGAAGCTTGGGGCAAACACGCAAAGTGATTTGATGAAAAAAATAACTTAGGCACACTGTATAAAAATTTCTCCCCTAGTCCGTACATACTCTTAAAAAAAAGAAGCAAGAATTCTGTTTGAAAATAAATAATACGAGAGGTTACCTAAAAAAAGGGATACACACACACGTTCACACAGAGATATACATATGCACGAACTAAATGTAAAAGAATGACAAAATGGCCAGATCGGTATATTTTATAGAGGCTTGGTGACATGTTAGTATATTTTTTTTAGTTTTGTCAGATTGGTATATTTTGTAGACCCGGCGCCATATATCCCTTAAATTTGGCCGGAGTTACCGTTCCGGCCACTGCTGATGGGATTTTTTTGCATAAAACCCCTCATCAAAAATCCATCCTGCTCCTAACCCCCCCCCCCCCCCTCCTCCTCCTCATCCTCTTCAACCTCCCACTCCCCCTCCTCCTCCTCATCCTCTTCAAGCACCATCACAAGCATCATCTCCATGCTTTTCCCTCAACAGCTTCAACATGTTTCCATTCATCTCAACAAGAAGAACAAGTTGTAAAGTGTGTAGTTGCAACAACACTCATTCACATGATTTGTAAACTAAAATATACTAAATACTCATCAATAACACCACAAAAGCTAACCTTCACCCTAAGTAACCAAAATTGATCTTAAAAAAACACCAAATGCTTGTCCATTAAAGAGAAATTATTGCGTAATGACCAAAAATCAGACAAAGAGAAGGAGAATCAAGTAACAAACAGCCGAATTGGACTCATTGTCATTATCCAAGCTATCCTCAGTAACTGCATCGCGATCCACATCACTGATCCCCTCAATCTCCCAGTTTCGTCCATCGACGGTGTTGAGATCGTGCAGCGAGCTCTCGATGAACGAATTCGACGAGGAGGAGGGGGAGGTTGAAGAGGATGAGGAGGAGGAGGGAGAGGGGGAGGTTGAAGAGGATGAGGAGAAGGGAGAGGGGGAGGGGGGTCAGGAGCAGGATGGGTTTTTAATGATAGGGTTTCATGCAAAAAATCCCATCAGTAGTGGCCGGAACAGTAACTCCGGCCAAATTTAAGGGCTATATGGCGCTGGAGTCTGCAAAATACACCAATCTGACAAAACTAAAAGAAAATATACCAACATGTCACCAAGCCTGTACAAAATATATCAATCTGACCATTTTACCGTAAAAGAATGAAGAATACAGTAAGACTAAATATTATAAAATCCCCTTAACTTTTGATGATTATCAAATAAACTCCCATAACTTTTAAAAATATTAGAAAACCCTCGTAATAACCTGAATATCAGAAAACCATAATTTCTCATGTGTAAGTAGAATAATAAAATGGAATCTTTTTGCCAGAAATTGACAGCAAACGTGGATAGAAGGTTTTCTAATAAAATCTTACACTTAAAAAGGGATTCTTTAATATTTTGAGAGTTATATGAGAGTTTCTCTTGATAACCATCCAGCGCTGAGGGGGTTTCCTGATGGTCCAAAGCCTTAGGTAACTGCCACGTGTCAGTCCAACGTTGTTCAGTACCACCTTCGAATCACAACCCGCTACAGGATTCAATACCGAAAACCGAACTTCTTATTTGTTGACACAGCTGTAGCGCGTTCACTATTATCAGCTGATCACAGCCTTTCGTCGATGCCGACGAAGCGAGTCTCACGACTCCCGTGCCACGTGGCGCTAAAGCAGGAGGGTATTTCGGTCACACGACACTTTTTCTCTCTCTTCTAGAAAGCCTTTCGATGTTCACAAAGCTCTCTCTCTCTCTGTCATAAGAACGGCGCCTTCCCCCCTTTAAATACGGCCACCGCTCTCTCTCTCTCACCCACGCTCTTCGTGCTTGTCGCCATTTTCTCTCTCTAGAAATTCTCTCTCTCTCTAATGGCTGCCATCGCCGGAGCTTCGGTCTCGATCGCCGCTCGGCCGCGGGTTTCCCGCCAGATCAAGGTATCAGTTGTCTCCAATTGCTCTCCTTTCTACGATCTGATTGATCTCAGTTTCTAGGGTTTGGGACTTGTTTTAGCTTTTTGATTCTTTCTCGAATGGCGATCTCGTAATTTTGTTTGGAACTAGAGTGGTGTTGTTAGCTGATGATTTTAGCGGTAACTGATGTAAATTCGGATTAAGTAAGGGGGTTATTGAATTTTACTTATATACATGCACTAGTGGAAAACCAGGTATCGTTGACGGGCATTCCCGTCAGGAATGCTTAAAATCACGTTGGCGATAAGTATCCTTGACGGCATCCCGTCAAGGATATGCCGTCAGCAATAGTCCCTTCAGGGAAGAACTATCGCTGACGGGGCACCGTCAGTAATGTGTATTACTGACAGCAACAATGTTGACGGCAAACGCCGTCAGTGATAATGATACATCGCTGACGGGGGGCCCGTCAGCGATGTTAACTACATCGCTGACGGGATCCCGTCAGTGATGTTTGTTGCTGACGGCAGTTCGTCAGCGCTGAACAAGCTATCGCTGACGGT